AAAAAAAAACAATGCAAAAGCTGCTCAAGGATGACTCATATTCATGTCCAAGTGAATGTCATTGAGTGGCCCAGCCAAAGCCTGGTCTTGAACCCACTGAACACCACCTGAAAATGACTGTCCACTGACGGTCCAACCTGACAGAGCTTGAGAGGATCTGCAACAAAAAGAGAGAGAGAGAGAGAAAAGCCTGATATGAGGGGGGAAAACATTTTTAGCATAAGGCTGTAATACAAGAAAATATTTTTAAAAATGAAAAAGAGACTGAATACTTTCTAAATCCACTGTAAGTCACTTACCAACTGTTTTGAGTATTTCGAGTCTTTGAGTAATCAAGCATGCATTAATTATAGGGTATGTAATAAACATCAGTTGCAGGCCCAGTTCTACAGGGGTGCTAGAAGTTGCTGAACAGAAGTAAGAGCACCCCTCAGCAAACACATTTATGTTGTGGCAATGTTGGTGACACATTCCATTTTTACTATGGCAACATTGTAGCAAGATATAATTGTAAGACGTGTGACATTCAGCAACCTACGGCACAACATTATGACCACATTTGTTTATTTCTTATGCCATATTATAACTTATCTTTTTTGCATGTTGTTATATTTTGTGGTAATCAATTAACTAGCTAAGATTTATTACATTTCTTTTTTCTTTTCTTTTCTTTTCTTTTCTTTAAGACCCACATACGTTTAGAGTTGGAGAAAAAAAAATCAATTAAATCAGACTTATCTCTGGAAACATATTTGTATGCAGGGCTTTGTATGTCTGCAAAATTTGGCCCAAAATTGTGTTTTATATCAATGTTATATAATAAAATATATTATATTTTAATATAAAGTTTAATATTTCATATGTTATTACATTAATAATATGTATTATTTTAATTAAATAAAACATTTAACAAAATAAGAAATATTACTATTTAAGAATAAGTATAATAAGTATTATTTTCATGATATTTGACAGAAAACTGCAGGGTGACCTGTTAATATACAGGGGGCCTAAAACTATAAATCATTAGAAAGGCCTAAGGCTTTATGATAAAGTAGGCCTATTAAAAATATTTTTTTAAATGTTAAATTTTATTATTAAATCTTATGATTCCATAGAGAAAGAGAGAGAAAAAAACTGCACACTTCTCTACACTGGAGAAATGTATGGATTTGCAAATGTTTATTTCAAATTTCTTTAGAGATAAGTATATATTTTTATATTTTTACCCAAACTATGATGTTGTGAGCATTAGTGAGAACACACATAATGTAATGTCGGTTTCATTCGTACACAATGCCAGAGGGCGCCCTCATGCAGAAACTCCATAAGTGAGACTCAAGAAATAATATCACTTTGTTTTTTTACTTTAATAAGAACAAAACATATTATACAACAACTGTACATATATCCTTACATGTCAAGGGTAATACAGATATATAAGAAAATACAATAAATAAACAATAAATAAATTTAAAAAATAAAATACAGTCAGAAAGGCAAGTTATAGTGTAAGGGAACCGAAATTTACAGCATACCTTTTTGTAATATTAATGTACCTATACAGCTACGTACATGTAGGTATAAGGGAACAATATGCAAAGTTTAAAGAATAAAGAGGTAACAACCTGGAAAATTAACATTTGTTGTATAATATACGTTTGGATTTGGCTATTTGATGGTGTATGTGTTTTTCTTGGTACTTATACAAACCTTCCAACAGTATTTTAAAGAGGGTGTAGATCGTTTATTTTGTGTAGCCTCCCTTATCAGAAAAGCTGAGTGTTACATATTGGTGGCCCGTACGGGGCCCCTCTATTGTTGTGTTTGTTTGATTTGTACAAGTATAAATATGGATGTGGACAGTACTGTTACTGATGCAGTTACTGATGTTAATGCTGTGAACAATGTGAATACAGATAACCCATGTACAGTGTTGGGAGGGTTACTTTGGAAATGTAATAGGTTACAGATTACAAGTTACCCTATTTAAAATGTAATAGTAGTGTAACTTTTTCAATTACTTTGTTAAAGTAATGTAACTGATTACTTTTTATTACTTTTTGATTACTTTTCTAAATTTCTAATGAATGTTTATTTGCAACTGTTAATCATTTTCAAACATTTACACCATGCAGGGTTAACCTTACAGTAGTGCTCAACACTGTCAGACTTTCAAAATCCTCAATCTCAAATTTCAAATTTGAATACATCCACCACAAAATCAGACTTTAGCATCGCCTTTTACTTTGAGATTGATCTGAAGTTCAGTGCAGATTTAAAATCATAAGAAATAGTTAAGATAAGAAATAGTTAATAGATAAGAAATCTTTGCATAACTACAGGAAACACTGCATCTAACAATGGTTTGGAAAAAAAATTGTTAATTAAAAAATAATAATAAATAAAAGCATATACATCAACTCAAATACGGTTATCTAATAAGCATGTGTCCTATTCTGTGTACTAAACTCCTGAAACATTAGTGTCTCTTTGAAACATTGGTGTCTCTTTGTGACGATAGTTTTCTCAAAATAAGTAAAATGCTCATGAAGTGACTCAAAGCAGTTC